ATGGCGCCAAGCACAAATTTCACTCTCGGAGAAAAATTAAACTGCTCAGCTCAGGGAATTGACCTTTTTGATCGAGATTAAATTTCTAAAAGAGTTCAAACCAAGTACTAACCAGGGTAATTCTCAAAATTCTTTGGCAAGACATTTTTCTGATATATTTTAAGGATTAAGGAGGGAAAATCTTTAGCATATCTGGAGAAATCACAAGCTTGTGTGGGGGCCTCGCAGCGTTCTGAGGCATTGAAATCAAATCCTAAACGTACCTGAGTACTTACATTTTGAATTTTGATGGAAAATAAGGGGGGGGAGGGGCTTCATTTATATCTGAGCCATGGGGATGCCAGATGATGAGGGATGAGTTTGAGGATTTTTGCGCACAGCAGAGGTGCACAGAGATGTTTTCAGTAGAGTACCTATATTAAGAGAGAGTATGGCCACTGGAGTTACCACCTCTGATTGGCTCAGCCATCTTAGGCTGAATGGAGCCCTTAGGACCCAAAAATGGCGGACGCTATAAAGTTGATGTAATGCAAATGATTCAAAATGTAGTTGTCTTTGCTTATCGTAACGAGAACTTTACCCAAATGCACTATTGCGACTTTTTTACATATTTTTAAGGCTAATCGTGTGCAATTTTTTAGAAAAATGATCTTAGATGTAGTAAGGTTGGCAGCAAGTGCGGTTGGTGATAACCGTCAAAAGTTGGCAATGACCCCCCTCCCATCCTCAAAAAACCAAAACAAAGCACCGCCATTTTTGGGTCCTAAGCCTCTCCATGGGACCCAGTGGCCATACTCTCTCAATATAGGTACTCTAGTTTTCAGGAGCATTGGGGGAACTAGTTAGGAGCAGGAGGGGGGGAGAAATATTACTCTTTCCTGACATCGAGAAATATGAGGGCTTTTGCTAAATTAGCTGTGTTGCCAGACTTTGATTGTGGAATTTATAATTCTAAAGATTTAACTCAGCATTCGCACAAATTTATCAATTTTTTTTTGTGGCACAATGGTACAACTTCTGGGAAACATCATGTTAAAGGTAACGAGGCACTTAGCATATTTCTTGAAAAATTTGCTAAAAAAATATCTTTGTACATTTCTGCTTTTGATAACTCATACCTACAAAAGTACATAACGATCCAAAAAGTGGTGACAGTGAAATCAGTAAATCATTTGAATCAGTGAGTTCGAAAATACACCAACTCGGAAAAAAAAAATTCAGGAAACACTTAAAACTTCGCAGCGGGCGAAGAAGTTGGTCTAAGAAAAACCTTTTTGGTGCCAAAGGACGCAAAAAGTACCTACTCTAGCGACTTTAAAGCACCAAGTTTCAGATACTGGTTTTTCATAGTCTGCCCTGAAAAATTTATATTTTTGGACCTGAATAACGCTTGAATATTTATATAACTTGTTGGCACAAGGTATACTGAACCGAAAAAAGAAAACCGCATAATCGGATAGTCACCCGTTTCCCTTGATCGGCCAAAAATTGGTTTTTCCAATGAAATTCTTCGATTCTTCCCGTTTCCCGTTGCTGTTTCGAGCACTTCCGATTGCAATTTCGATATATCCTTTTGCAAGCAGATGCTTCTACTTATCCATAAGTGTTACTAAACCGTAAAAAAGTGAAAATCGAAAAAAACCCGTGTTGGAGTGTTTCCGAATCCGAACTCACCGATTCATTTTACATTATTGGAAACATGATTATTTGGATGGATAAGATAAGGTGAGGAGGCGGCAGACGATAGGATGGGTTAGAGTAGGTATTGGTTAGAGAGTGCTCAAACTGCTCTGAGTTCCCGTCGCGCCACGCAGCCATCTTGCCTGCATGCTCATTCGAGGGGGTCTTTGCCTGCAAAAAGTAAACATCATACATACATTAACCACGCTATGCTACCATGTTGGAAGTTTGTATGGTTTCACTTACCCAAATGGAAAGAGTCGTCGATTCACGGGGATAAAGTTTAGAATCGTTGCTGAATTTTGCGCGTCACGCAGTAAATTCAGGCATGGGGCCGATGACACCCACATTCGAGCCACACTCACACTCAGCTTCCACATTCAGCGTGTGATTGCGGCATGATATGAGTCTCCCTTAGAGTACCTTTATAGACAGAGTATGGCCATTTCTGTTCCGGTTTTTCATTGGTCGCGTGAAAATAGGCTGACACGATGTCCTTACGGCCGTAAATAAACAAACAAGATGGCCGTTATCAGCAAGCAAGATTGAGGTTATGCACATCTTACATCCTCCTGTGATAAAGGTGAAAGGCGATTTAATAATGTTTTCATGTGTTTTTCGTGTGTTATTCGCAGATATGCTAGCTTAAATTGTTACTGCAGTATAATTGAAATTTTTGTCAAATTTATCTTCTTATCGATGTTACGGTGAGCTGCCATCTTGTTTGTTCATTTACGGCCCTAACAGCATCATGAAGCCTAAAAACTCGTTGACCAATCAAAAAGCGGAACAGTTTTCCTGTAGTAAAAAGATACGAATGGCCATACTCTGTCTATAAAGGTACTCTAACGGCCGTAAGAGCATCATGAAGCCTAAAAACTCGTTGATCAATCAAAAAGCGGAACAGTTTTCCCGTAGTAAAAAGATACGAATGGCCATACTCTGTCTATAAAGGTACTTTAGTCTCCCTGACTTATAAAACCAAGGTGGAAGAAACCAAGCGTGTCACTATCGTGGTGGATGACGTCAAAAACTCAACTTTTCAAGGGCGATATCTCAGTCAATATTGAACGTAGAAAGTTGCGGTTTGGACGGATCTTAATATTTTTAGCTAATCTACTAGGCTTCGTCTCCGCGGGACGCTTTCGTTGGATTTGTCCCAAGTTCGAATGGCAGGAATGAAATTTCTGACATATTTCCCAGTTACCGTCTACCACGGGACGGGGCCCACACGGTCCTGCGACAAGTTTGCGCGTATAAGTTAGTAAAAATCGAGAGTTTAAAGCGGGATTAAAATAATAATTTAACACGATTGACAATTAGACATATTATTTTACCTGAGCAAACACGAATAGTGGAGTAACCAACAAAATATCGTATAGTTCGCTTTCACTTTTCTTCCTCTCTCAATTGGTCCTAGCCCAAGTAGCATTTTGCAACGAAAAAATTGCAATTTAAATGAAATAAAATTTCCAGATGATTTCAACTTTCTTGCAAGAAAATTGCAATTATTTTACAACATCTGACCCCCTCATTGTAAAAAAGTTGAAATTTTTTTTTTGCAAAGAAATTTCAATATTGACGACCTTTAAATTTCAACCCCTAAATTTTCCGGGGAAATTATAATAATTCGAACCCATGCTTACCTAATGTCCTACGACGTTTAGCAGCATAAAATACCGGACGCCCTTGAGTGGGCTTGAACCCGACCCGCGAATGTCATAGCGGAGCACTCTTCCACTGAGCTACAGGGAGCTGATGATGAGCTGGGTTGAAATCACGCCTGTTAAGGCTGTTATCGCATGCATTGCGTCAGTGCGTGGCTCAACATTCATCATAGATTTGATTAACGCCGTTTTTCTCAGGCTTCTTTCTTTTGCCTATTATTTATTTTTTTTCGTGTTATTTATTTTTTTCATATTTTTTTTGTCTGATTTTTTTTTTCGATATCACGTAATAGGTACTCACACTAAATTAACACCGGTGTAAATTACACCACATACTAACTTGAGAACTTAAAAATATTTTCAAAAAATATTTTTAAAATATTTTCAAAACTTTCTTAAGGAATATTTTTAACATGCATGTTTACAGGCAATATTTTTGAATTATTTTAAAAATATTTTTTGTAAACATTTTCAAAATATTCCTTTAAAATGTTTTAAAAATATTTTGAAAATATTTTACTTACAATATTGCCATGAAAATATTTTGATAAAGGTGACAATATTTTCAAAATATGTTGGGCTATATGGGTTAGGTAGGTGAGACATTTAAGTCGAAAAAACTTTAAAACAACTAGAGAATTGGATGCCAGGCACATGGCGTGAATTTGTTACAACATGATTGCACCGAAATTGCAGTCTTTATAGTGCCTTGAAAAACAAGCATAATCTACATTTCTTGCAAACTTATTGCAATAAAATTGCAACTTTTTAAGCGCCTTCAAATGAACGTATAGGCAACAAGCAAAAATTGCAATCAACTCACAATCCATTGCAATGAAATTGCAATCCATGCTACTTGGGAGGGGACGCATAAGGACCATACTTGGTACTGGGAATCATATTGATTAACTGAAAATTTTTCCCGATTTGTAAGAGGAATTTTTCCCTGGGACTAATCCCGTGAAGCGGCTCGTGGAGACAAGGCCTTAGAATGAAGCATCAAAACACAATTCTGTGACCAACGCAATAACTGACCCATTACCGTCCATAGGAGTCAAAGGGCTTAAATAGGTAGGTACAATGGTACATTTCGTTGTTACTGTTGAGATTAAGCATTTAACGACGGATTGAGGACTTATTACTTTCTTTATTTTGCAAACTAAACCGGTACAAATTACAGAACACGAACATCCGACGCCATTTCATAGCTAGAGTCCCTTTATACTGAGAGTCAAGACAATGTGAATCCATTTCTGATTGGTTCCCGTATTTTAGGCCTTCACAGTGTCACAAACGAGAATAAAGATTACAGTTTCACCGATAGCAAAGATTATAATCTGGAATGGACCGGGGAATTACGGGTTCGGCAAGGAACAAACGGAATGAGGGAAGGAACGAAGAAAGGAATTCGAGAATGGGTCGATCAAAGATTACGAAAAACGTTCAATTTCTGTAATCTCTATTCCCGTTTGTGACTCCATGAGGGGTGTTGTCTTGACTCTCAGTAAAAGGGGCTCTATTCATAGCTAAGAGCGACGACGAGACTTACACAAGCTTGCGAGAAGTATAAACGAGTGCTGCTCTCTAGCGTACATCAACATAATCAACAGTTACACATCTCATTCGTTGTTTTTGGTTTTTGTTTCCTTATAGGCTGATGGTGAGAAACAGGCTGGCATAGAGAAAATTAACCTCTGCTTAGAAAGTTTTCTAGGTATAAGCGACAATGAGCTTGGTAAGATTTCATTGTATAAATTATTGAAAAAATTGTTTCAATCATCCCGATAAGGAGCTGAGAAATCATAGGTACAAAGAGGACAGTGAAGTGTATTTTGGTGGGAACGGTAAATTCCAATCTCCCTCGACCTTTTCTGTATTGGATATAAACTACAAAAACCCTCAAAAACATTTTCGGGCAAAAAATCCGGTCAAGGAAATTGACGTGTTACATCTTACTAACCAAAAACATTCCCTTTCACCCCTCCAAGAAGGTTGATAAAACTAAGTAAGTAACTATGAGATGGCAAAAACCTCTCTTAAATTCTCAGGGTCCACCAAGGCCACATATGTCCAAAAACTTACTCTATATGGTTTAAAAAAAAGAAACAAAAAATAATCCCTTAACAATAAGAAAATTTAAAAAAAAAAAACCGATTTTGTGGTTCACAGATATGTACATAAATCCTTCGAATGAACTTGAAATCACAAAATCGGTCGAGAAAATTTAAATGAATTTTCTCCTTCAATTATGAGTTCCGCAACAAGCACGACTCGCTTGAAGCTTTCCATACACGAGCCGCAAGAAACTAATTTCTTCTTTCTTACCTACTGAATGTGAGGAGAGCGGGAGCATTTACTTTTTCCTTCATTTATACAGGATGCAACAAGCATGACTCTTGCGTTTGCAGAAACCCTTTCATTAAGGAGATCGCGAGAGCTTTTACCGCGTTCATTTCCAAAAGGGATTACTCCAGAATTTCATGCATTTTAATAATTTAAACGAATAATTTTGCATTTACCACAGTCCACAAATCAAGAAGTAGTTCTCTACTCCAAGTCCAAGTCATCCTGACTATCCACTGCTTGCGTCCGCCTTATCGGTTCCGACGGACGTACAGAAATCTGCCGCTCGCTATTAGATTGTGGCAGCAGTGCTAATTTTATTTCACATGATTTAGCAGCCACTTTAAAGAACAAAGTAGAATCGATACAGGGAATAAAAATTATAGGTGTAGGAAAATCCATCTCGAAATTTCGTACTGTTATCGCAGTGCAATCTTTGAACTCGAACTTTTCTTTTGAAGCAACTTGTGCAGTGTTGCCAAGTCTGCCACTAATTATTCCAGATAAAACGTTTCTAAAGTACGATATTACTTCATCCAAGGTAGAATCGAAATGGGCCGACCCTATTTATTTTCAACGAGGCGAAGTACATGTTATTTTCGGTGCATCAATTTTTGGGAGTTTATTGAAATTCAAAAAATATTCATTAGGCCCTGAACTCTCGATTTTGCAAAGTACGAAATTAGGATGGATTTTGACACCTGTTAATAATTTATCTCCATCTTCTTATCAACATAAATATAAAAATGATAGTAAACAAACAGAAATAGGCATGTTTCAATGCCACGTCGGATTCGTTATCCGACATGTTATAGATTCACAAAAATACACAGAAATACACAAAAAAGTAGAGAAAGCGCCGACTAGGGGCGAGAGAGGGTGCCAAATGAGGGGCGAAGGAGGGTGCCAACTAGGGGCTATAGAAGGTGCCAACTAGGGGCGAGAGAGGATGCCAACTAGGGGCAAGAGAGGTTGCCAAATGAGGGGCGAAGGAGGGTGCCAACTAGGGGCGAGAGAGGTACATAAACAATGAAAAAGACATGAGGACAAAAATGACAAATGGGGCCCCAAATGGAAGGAAAAATAAAAGAGTTCAAATCATATGATCAAGCACCAAGATACGGTGTAGAGAGACGGAGAGGCGGAGTGAAGGAAGATGAGCTGGGCGCCGGGCGGAGAAAGGAGAAGTAAAAAGTCTGAAGAAATGTCAGCTGAGATAGCAGGAGCACAGGTGCCGTTTACAATCGCACAATCACAATCACAAGTCAAACGATGAAACATCTTAACAGCCCGGACAAAAGCGGAAAGTGTTACTATGGCGATTCGCTTTACTCCGCTATTTCGGAACGCGAAACCGGCGATCGGAGGTTAGACTGTCGACGCGCACGGAGAGCACTCAGCTGATGATAAAATCATCGAATAAACTCATAAAAAATGGGTTTTGAAGGTTATGAGGGTTATAGGTTTTCAAAGTTAATGTTACCAAAAATGCACTTAAACGAACGATGACGATGAATACCAAGTCTCGCGTCACTAGACAAGGTCAAATCGCGTCGGGGTCACCAAAACTGTAAGGGGAAAGGGGGAATGGGAAGGAAATAAGGACAAATCTATCGGGATCGGAAAAGCGTGTATGAACGTGAGAGAGGATCAGAAAGACAAGTGGTGGTGCATAACCATAGATACATACAAGAGATATATACATGATACAGTCAAAATCGTACACTGCGCTTCCTTCGGGACGAACTTTCCCAACATTGCGAACAGGAAACAATCATTTAATGCACCGTTATTTACATTGACAACATGCTTCGTTGAAAATGGCACCTTAACGTACGTTCCTCCTCGATGTAACGCGTAATAGCGGTTGACACGTAGCTCCATACCCTGTATCTTCTTCAGCACCCACTCGGATCCGTTCATGTGAAAATCGAATGACTCTTTATTGATCTTGGCCCTGAACCTTTCATAATACTCGTCCAGATCCGTTGACGCGAAAACAGCTTCGTTTTTAGTCTTAAACTTGTTCAACTGCATTCCTTCCTTGTCCTTATCGTCAGCTTTCTCGTATTCAGCGTACCTAAACTAGTATATTAACCTTCAATGCCTCGCCGGTGAGTTCTTCTTTAATTTTTCCAATCACGAGGTCTTTAACTGTTAGTAGGTAGTCATTGATGATGAGAATCTCCGGTTGGAGGTTTGTGATGAAAAATGTTTTCAACCTACTTTGACAAGCAGTCTCAACTTGAACAATCGGTACTTTAGTCTCAAACAAATTTCTTATGTGACTTGCAGATTCTTCATGTTTTTCTCTTTTATGGTATGAGATCTTGCACGTGTCACAATATTCTTGATTCTCATCATTGTTGTCATCGGCAGGTGATGAGGTGTCCTTCATGGTGGACATCTTTTCAATGTGTTCGGGAGATTGCTCATGATTCCCTCCCTCCGCATAAAACTCATCACAAAAATCACAATGGATGAGCGCGTTGTGCTCCTTTTTAATATACGTTTCATCGTTGATACCCTCCTCCTTCTTAATTTGTTCCGTGCAGTGTTCGTGCTTTTCACCTTGATTATGAAATTCATCACAAATCTCACATTGGATGAAAGTTTCAACATTCTGTTTTGCTTGTTCTTGAGCAGCCATGATAAAGATACTATTTTAAGCTCAAAGTCTTCCGAGTCGGTCAGAAAAAGGAATCTACACTATATTTACGTTTCTTAGATTCTGTTCACTGAGAAAATTTCAGAGCGAACAAGTGATACTACTTTAAGCTCGGGGTTTCCTGAGTTTGTCACAACAGAAAATCTATATTATCTTTACGTTTGCTAGATTCTGTTCATTGAAAAGATTTCAGCGTGAACAAGTGAATACTATTTTAAGCTCGGGGTTTTCTAATGTCATCAAAACCGAGACCGACGAACTTCCGTTCGGAGACAAATCTACAGTTTTCATACCGAGCGAAAAGAAACTGTAAAGTCATAATTTACCTCAGAGTGAATATAGTAGTAGTATTCATTCACCACCAAACTCGGTTACACTCGGACAAAGTGTGTAGTCATAATTTAGATCTAAGTAAATATAGTAGTATTTCTTAATCACCAGATTCGGTTACACTCGGACAAACTGTGTAGTCGTAATTTAGATCAAAGTAAATATAGTAGTATGTCTTAATCACCAGATTCGGTTACACTCGGACAAACTGTGTAGTCGTAATTTCGATCAAAGTAAATATAGTAGTATTTCCTAATCACCAGATTCGGTTACACTCGTACAAACTGTGTAGTTGTAATTTAGATCAAAGTAAATATAGTAGTTGTAAAAGTAGTAGCATACGCTGACCTGTGCATAACCTAAAATAAAATGTCTACCCTTCCATTATCCGAATGTGCAATTAGGTTTTTGAGTTTTGAAGATTGTTTGTTCATGAGTTTGTTTTAAATACCTTATGAGATGGATAAAAAGCTCAACAAACAACTTGTGGAGTCAATATATTTACGAGTGGACCCCATTCATCACAGCAGGCGCAGCCACGTGTGTGACTACGAGTGCGTGCGTACGTTAGAAGCGATTCTGAAAACTCTCAAATATGAATTGCGCGGCAAACCCGCGTTTTATCGGTGTTTTATGAGTGGGTTTTGTAAGTGGGCTCTAACACATTTGTGCACCAAAAATCTCATTTCATCGTATATACAAACCGAATTACTGCTACTCGACTAGTGAACACGGGTGTGAACGCGAGTCACAACAATTGGATCGATAGTAAGGATTTCGTATAAACAGTATGCATTCTCTTCTCAGTATTGCAAGGAAGAAATCATGATCGATAAAATAATTCTCATCACTTTCATCATCATCGTAACCGTTGTTGGAGTGAATTCCACAACATTGGCAGAAAACTCATCCGAGGCAAACATCACAATGTGCCCGGTCTAGAGTACCTGTATAGCAAGAGTATGGACAGATGTGAAACTCCGAAAATCCATCAGGCCTTCACCGATGCTTCTGCGAATAAAGTTAGGGCCCAGAAATGCAGCCAACCTATGAATTTCAATTATCCAGAACGATTTACTAATACTATTGTTACGAACCGTCGTTTATTAAGCACGTGTTTGACTCAGTTTTTGCATAAATTTACTCAATTTTGCGGAAGAACGCTCATTTCTGTACATTCTTGGCCATCTTGGTTAGAATTGGAACCTGCAGACTGGCAGTGAAATTTTGTGCGTTAGAAGTTGGTTAGAAGGGTGGCTGCACTTTTGGGCCCTAAGCCCTCCATGAAGCGATCCGTCCATACTCTCGCTATACAGGTACTCTGACTCGGTCTATCCGGAAATCAAATGCGCACCCTCTACCTTGACGGACGTTTCTCTATTCATCTTGAGTTT